GGTTTGGCATTGGTGTGAAAGTTGGTGGTTTCTTGGGGTTTTTGTAACATCCCGAAATTCAGAGTCAGTGACTAAATTGCAAATTTTGAAAACTATGTGCTTGATTTCGAAATAAGTTAAAAGTTCATGGATTTAGTAGTAAAGCTGGAAAATAACAAGGGTATTATGGTCTTTTCTAAGAGAAGATTTTTATTTTCCCTTTTTAAGGAAACCACGTGGGAAAGGAGAGAATTATCCAGAGTCTTCTTCTCCAGCTTCTTCTTCTCCCCGTAAGCCTCATTTAAAGGTGAGTTTAATTTCAGCTGTTTAATTCTTGGATTTATAAGTTGATTTTGATTCTTGGAGTATTATATAAGCATAAGGAAAGCTTATATAAGCTTTAAACATCAAGAATAGAGAATTAGAAAGGAAATGATATGAAGGGTGTAGAAATGAAATTTTGTTATAGAAAGATTTTTGAAGTTCTAAAGATGGATTTGACTTGTCAAGGGTATAATTAAGAAGCTAGAAGCAATAGAATTGAATTTGGAATATGTTGAAAATTTAGTGTAATTCTTGAATTACATATGGAGAATAGGATTTTGATGTTAAAGAGGTGATTAATGAATAGGAATGAGTTTGAATATGAGTATGTAAGTTAAAAATAAGAAAGGGGATGATATATGAAGTATTAAGCTGAAAAGAGTGGATTTTCGGGCATAAAAGAGGATTCTGGGCAGAGTGTATCGATGCACATTCATAGTGCATCGATGCATCAAGGTTAAAACCCAGAAATTGTTTGAAGGTGTATCGATGCACAGGTAGTGCATCGATGCACTCTTTTAAAATAAAAACATCGAATGCAATTAGTGCATCGATGCATAAGGCATGCATCGATGCATCCCAGTAATAATACAACATCGAATGCATTTTATGCACCGATGCATCAGTAGTGCATCGATGCATACCTTCATTAAAAGATGAAATTGGCTTTTCTCTGAGCCTAAGGAGTGATAGTTTCGAATATATCAATCAGTATACTGATAAGTATTAATGTATTATTATGTAGATATAGAATGAAAGCTTGCTCTGGAACAAACTAAGGATTAGGATTGATTCAAAACAACGAGGCCCAGGTGAGTACATCTTATTGTATAAGATTATATGGAAATTGGACTTGTGATAAGTCTATTCTTATAGTAATAGCTCATTAAGTCTTGATTATAAGTATGTTAACGATATGAAGTGTATGTATGTTTGATTATATGAATTGATATGTTTTGTTTTGTATGTGCTATGTGGTTTATGTAAAAATACGGTTAAGTGTTGATGAGAGAATATAAAATAAGTTATGAAATTATATGGATATAGAAGATAAGTCAAGAGATGTAGGGAAATGGAAATATATGTTTATAAAGAGTCATAGGAGAACAAATATAAGTAATATGATAATGAAATATAAGACTATGTGAATACATGGTTATGAGATAAAATATGTAAGAATAGGAAAAGATGATGAGAGTGAGTTCATGAGAAGTGATATGAACTAGGTAAACATGAGTTGGACAAGTACATAGTGGTATGATCCATTATGGGAATTAGTATAATAGAGCTTTTTGATTTAATGAGAGTTAAGGGAACTAAATAAGATTGAATTATAGAATGAAATGGGAATAGTATATCAATTAGGAAACTTGAATATAAAGGGACGATACGAATATGCAAGATAAGTTATATGCTAAATATCTATGGAGCTATATGAAAGATTATAATGAAATTATGAAATTGAATTAAGTAAATAGATTAAATTATTACCTAAATAAAAATACTATTAAATGATATATTTAGAAATACGATATAAGCTATGTGAAAGTGTTCTAGGTGTTTCTATATGTTATATGAAGTATATCATATGTTAACAAGATATGATAAATAGTTACATGAATAAATGTGATTGGGTGAGAAATGATAGAATTATATGAAAACATGTATATGTGAATTAGCTTTTTAATTAGGTAAATATATGAAATCATAACTATGAATTATGTGATGTGAAAGTAATCTATGTGATTATATGTTATATGAATACAAGAACATGAAATATGTGACATGTGAATTATATGGAAATGATCTACGTGTAAGTGAACTATGTGACTATGTGATAATATGAAAAGAAGCTATGTGATACGTGATATGTGAAAGTGAATTACATGTTTATGTGAATATTTGAAATGAAATAAATGATAATTCCCATGTTATGTGTCATGAGAGCTAGGGGTATAGTTGGCATGCCAAGAGTCGAGGGTCTACGCGGTCCTTCGGGACATATGTATATTCTTTGGAACATTTATGAGGTCTTTGAGGCACATACTTGGTCCTTAGTATATGTATATGATTCTTAAGGAATGATATGTGGTCCTTATGGACATTATTATATGGCACTACGGTGCAATTCTACGCGGTCCTTCGGGATATATATATATTCTGTGGAACATGTGTGAAGTCTTGTAAGACACATACTTGATCCCTAGTATATGTATATGATTCTTAAGGAATGATATGTGGTCCTTATGGACATTATTATAGGGCACTACGGTGCAATTCTACGTGGCACTTCGGTGCAATTATACGAGCTGTGGTGACAGTATTAGTGCACAACCTTTATAGACTCACATATCTATAGTTCTCACAAGTGTACCATGGGCTAATCAAAGAGATAACATAAATACAATATATATAATGTATATGCTTTTGGTGAAATGATATATGAGTGATATGATATACAGAAATGATAAGTACAAGATCATGTGATAAATAATTTGATGATAATGATAGAGATAATGATAATAATATATATGATAATGCTAAGAAAATAGATGATGATATGTCATGAGTGTATTTGTTATATAAAAGGTGTGTGATTTTGTATGAAATTGTTATATGATTTTGTATGATAAGTTAGTATTAAATGTTCATGTGTTTTGTTATATGGAATGTTTTATGATTTCTATTATATGTTTTATTTGCCTCACTAAGTCATCGACTTAGCGTCTGATTGTTTCACACGTAGGTTCGAGAAGAATATAGAGAACAATGTGGAGCAAGACAGGTCAGTTACTTCTTACCGAAGATCAGATCAGAAAAGATGTTTTGAATTAGATGTATTCTGTACATTGAAAATGGTTGGCATGTAAATAAATGTCTGAATTGTATATGCACTGAACGGTTTTGCAAAAACATTTAAGTTCTGAATAGTTCTGGAAATCTTTTGAATAAGCTCGAACGCGAATCCAGGTCGGGTACGGGTTGGGGGTGTTACAGTTTTGCTTTGAATTGTGTCATGGGGATCGAAGGGTGTCTTTTGGTCCTGGTGTTTCTCATTTCTCCTTTTAGTAGTTAGTATTTGAGGCATGAGTTGTTTCATTCATGAAATGATCCCTTTGATCATTCTTCATTCGGAGTTTTCAGTTGGCACTCGGGTTAGAAGTGGATATAACAACTTCTGTACTTTTGATTGAAGCTTGAAAGAGGTGAGATCTTGCGGCTTAATAGTTTGTATATCCTGGAAATATAGGAGAAGGTGTGGCTGCCTGCTTATTTGATGGTAATGTTGGTTGTGTCTTCTGGCCAATTAACATGACTGTTAAATGAAATCTCGTCCGTCGGTGTGGATAGGGATGATGATGATGATGATGAAGCTGTGTCACAATTGCTGACAAGTATGACACCATGGGAGCTTTGAGGTGATTAGTTTGTTATGGTATTGTTCCGATTCCGAAGTTACTGTTTTAGCCACTCAAGTGTAATCACTGATTTTCTTCAACAAAAAAAAAAGTGTAATCACTGGTTTCGTTGCTTTTTGGTGTAGTACAGTCTGGATGAATCTAAAGATCAATCAACTCTTTGCTTGCAAACTCGGTGTCTTAGAACATGTCTCGTAATGGTTGTTTGATAACCTTGAAGCATTGACAGGTTTGTTTCAGCTTATAAGCTTTGGCTGTTTTACTATTTGCCAAAGAGGGTTGTAAATGAGATGAGATATATCACATATTATTCGAGTTTGATTCGGACAAAATTCGATCAATGCTTGACTCGAGCTCGGTTAACATGAACTTGGTTTTTTTACAATTTGCTAAAGCCGAATGGTTTTATCGAACATATATATTGGTGTTTCAAAGCATGATGCTATGCTAGGAGTTTGTTTTGGCATACAAGCATGGATGGACAAAAGGGGTGGGTAGGTCGGGTAAGTCGTTTCCTAAAATTTCAAATTAGTATATAAGTTAGATATTTTCTTTGTATTTTTAATTGATAATCTATTTTTGTCCTTAAAATTTTATAACTTCGTCCTATAACATAAGATCCCGCGTCCATTCATGCATATAAACATTTTATAACATGATTCATTAGTTTTTTTATTAAATAAAAAATGCCATTCCAATATTTAAAATTTATTTAACTTGAAAATTATAAAATTATTTAAATGATATGATAGATTTATAATTTTTTGTATTGAAAGATAATAAATATATTACAATCATATATATTATATAAAGTAAGGTGCAAAAGCCTATATTATCGAATAAATAAATAAATAAAATTATAAAATTTCAATTGTCAAATTAGAAATCGGTGATATTGTGTTTCTAAATTAATTAAACAAACAATTATATTTTTATATTAACAAGAAGCTGATACGTCAATTAAAAAGTTATCAATGTGCCAAAATCATATGATTGTATTCATTTACTTTGCCATTCTAAATTAATTTGTTTTAAAATTCTCATATATGTTCTTATAATTAATTTAAATTTTATTTACTTACCAAATCTTATATATTCAGGAAATTAATTTAAACGATTCATTTCTTACAATTTACCCTAAATATGTTTCAATCCAAATTTTCTAAAAGGTAATAAAATATTAAAAGATATTACTTTTTAGTTATAAATATTCAAGAATGAAATAAAAAAAATTCAGTAACTTAATGTGTATTACATGCATGTCCTGTGAAACCAGTTAAAACTATGATGATCCTACCTAAGATGACATATATGTTTAGATGATTGGAGTTGCGAATGAATACGGACAGAACATGAAAAAAAAGATTAAACGGGCGTCTCAGGGAGCTTGGACTTTTCGGCAATACGATAGAACCATAACGAAGTCCTTCGCTGATGAGCCGACGGTTGCTGGGATCTTCTTCGCTGTAGATGCAGTACGAAACCAATAGTCTACCAAGCTATGAAGTTGTAATGATGGTACGACCGGTTGACCTTGGCACATGATCTCCACCTGCAAAAATGAATTCACTTAAACCATAATGAAGAAAGATCATTGATAGGATAAGAGTTTCATCAATGCCATCAAAACATGCTTATACCATGAACAGTTTAGATTTTGCTAACTTCCATGTGCTTTACAAAAGTAGAAAAACCGGTTCGAAACTTACGGAAAGAGGTAATAAGTTGTGAAAAGAAATGCAAGAAATGAGAATAAACATGGATATACTGAACCAAGAAAAGGGTCAAAGAATCTTCTGGAACCAGAGCTGAAACATTCTATCCGACAAGATGCAAACCGATATGAAACCAAGGAATTAAAACTGAAGTGCTACCGATGTTTTTGCCTTCAGTTTCATTTCAACATTCAGCTCCAGAAAACAAGAAAAGGAGAACAGCAAACGAAAAATTATGGCAAAATAGCATCACTATTTTAGAATGATGTAAAATGTAGGCACTGCTTTCTGGGAAAAACAGAAAACCTGGTAAAGGTCATCTCACCTCGGCTTCACTTGTAAGATCAAGTTTCTTTACAAGGTACTTTAGGATGAATGAGACTGGCATTTTACCATCCCTGTTAACATAAGAAAAGAAGTCAAATCATACGGACACTATAGCAATTTTTATGATTTCACAAACTCAGCAGAAGCAAATGAGGGGAAAAAGCAGATTCCGAGTGGCTAGTACGGACAGACTACTCACCCTATCCTCAAGTAGCATGCAGAAAGCTGTGGAAGGGAAATATGTCCTATCCTGAAACCATTTCATAAAATCGATAGTAAATCAGAGATACTCAAGTTGAAAGTCTATCAGAAAATGAAGCATGCCATTGAGAATTCGCTCATCAAGAAAATAACATACTGTAAAAGGCAAATCATTACTGTGTATATAGTGTGAAATCAGTATCGTACCGGTCTTCACAAGCAACTAATGAGAACCAAATTGGATTGTTTTTTGTATTCCACTTAGACCCCAAAGTGTCTAGCATGATCCTATTGGAGGCAGCTGCCTTCTTTTGTGCTTCTGCATGCAACCTTCTACGTTTCACAGGTTTTGTAATCAAATTTGCCCCATTCTTTTCATCCAGGACTTTTGAATTCAGCCGATGCTCCTTACTTTTATATTTATGAATACTCAATTTTCCATCAGGAACAGTTGGGGATTCAAGGCCAGCTTTTATTTCAGGCGCATATAAGTGACGATCAGGGCCATTATGTGGCTCAGATACAGAAGCTGGTGATGCCTGTGAATTTAACTTGGATGACTTTCTGTTAGCTGCTTCGACAAGACAGTTTAAGGATGTCCACAGATCTGCTTTCCCTTCCATAATTTCAACATCATCTGTATCTTCATTAGACCTGTGTTCACTAGAAGGTTTTGCACCGGAACAATCCTGCATCGATTTAAGGAAGATGGACAAGTTTTCAAAAACTAAGTTTGAAGTTTACATAACATAATCGTAAACAATATTTCTTCAGCCTCCTTTACCTGCCTTTTACGTTGACTAATTTTGTTTGAGGAATCAGGTGAGGTTGAGCCTGAGGAATGATCTTCTGCGGAATCTTCTTTCTTAGGGGACCCCTCAACAGAGAAACTACACCATCGAAAATCAGCAATCCTTTTTCGTGCAGTAGCTTTCGTTCTCCTTCCAGTCAAACCACGCTGCATTGGCACTTTGGGAGTACTGACCACCAATGATGACAGTGATCTTTCTTTTCTTTTTGCTGGTGGTGAAGCTGAAGGCATAACCTCGGGAGCACTTATCTTTCTTCTTTTGTAAGGGAAAATTTTTGCCCTTACTTCTTGTAAACTGTGGTCTGGTCTGCATATATTTATAGGAAAAATAATTCTGTGCGAGCTTATAACAACACAAAACTTCATAATAAACACACCGACTGTAAGTTTTCATATATACAGATTCTTCGGAAACTTGCATAGTATCACAAAAATGGAGTGCATCTAGCTAGCATATATTTTAAAAGCAATATGCTAAAAGCAACATCTGCTGACACAGACTTGTAAAAAGTCCTTAAGAAGCAAAGGTGCAGCACGGGACGTGAATCAGAGCATGCTGACGAGCGACTCAATGCATAAAAACATTCATTTACGACGTTGAAATTGATATAACAGCACAGTTATACAATTTCTGCCCAGCGACAGTGGTTACAGAGATAAAAACATACAATACCAGACACAATCTTTCCAGCTATAATTCAGAAAAAAAACCAAATTTGACATCAGTGGGACTTGATCAGAGCTTTTGAATTCTACTGCTAACAATTTGCACTGTTTACAGGGTAACAGTTATAGTTCTTATATTTGAAAAAGGATGACACAAGATTCATATATTTCTGAATACCCAGAATCAATAACCTGAGTTTGTCAACTGGCAGACATCCCAGCTCAATGTCGCATATGGGACAACAATCCATCCCTTCATCCGAGAGCTTCCCATATATGCACTTCCTACAGACTGAATCGATTTCAAGATAAAGTGCATCGGAAGTGAGCCACAAAAGCATACATCAAACATTCCAAGGAAAAACAGCAGCAACCTTGACTTCGCAGTTCAACACATTATATGAATCAAAAGCACAACACAAAGCAGTACAATGTTCAAGTAGAAGTTGTACAATGTAGAAGCATTTAGTAGATTATCTCTCTTTGAAGATGACAACATTGATATTCAACTTAAAAGTGGGTTAATTAAAGCAACCTATATACCAACTTGTTCAAAAGGCAGTCCTTAATACACGAGAAAGAAAAGTTGGTGTCCTTGTTGTCTTGCATACCAGAATCATTCATGGTGGCAAATTATGGCATACTCTAAATCTCCTACATAAGTCTGCCATATCCTTTGGCTATTATACAATCATATAATTCAAACCACCACTATGTACATACAACATACGTATATGCATGAGACCAACAAAGGTAAAGAAGTGAAAACAGAACATGAAGGAGTATTGACAAGAACAACCAGGTAGCAAGAAAAATGAAATCACATTTAGAAGAATTATAAATCGGATGACAAAAAAAATCTGAAATTTGGCATTCAATAGAAATCAAATACAAAACATCTGGAACGTATAGTTTAATGAATGTAAGACATCGAGAAAGACATATCTCGACACAACAGAACTAATCAAATAAATTGCAAAATAGTGAACCTCAGATGAAAAAACCCAGAAAGGAAAAACAACCCAGAATAAAATAATCATCCAAATACAACAAGAAAAAGAAGAAAACCCAGATCAGCAATTATCAAGGAAAGAAAAAGCACATGAAAAATAACATAAAAGAAAAGAGAAACTAACACGTATGGAGACACAGGGAAATAGTTGTAGCTTCCTTTAAAAGCTTATTACAAAGAGGGCATGTCATGCATGACTCTAAAGTTTCTCTCTTTACTTCGACAACACGATGATGACTACCACCAACCATCTTTTTCTCCCTTCACATTCAAAGGCTGAAACTGGTTCGATGAAGAAGAAAATTCATCAGCAAACAATGGGTAAGTCCAATAAACTAAGAAGAAAAGAAGTTTAGAAGAAGATTGAGGTTTTCGTTGGGTTCTGACAAGTGTGTGTTTGGTTCCAAGTATTGGTGTAAAAAAGGATGGGAAGCTTCTTTATTATTACATGAAGGATATCGTGAAAGCCTGATCTAAACTGGAACAGATATGAATGGAAGGGGCGGGTTTTGGAGGTGGAATTTTTAGAACTTAACTACGTGAGATTTGGTTGGATTTTTTGACAAAAAATAGAAAAGAAAACAAAAACAGCGGCTTGTAAAAGTCTTTTGGCTTTGGCTCTTGGTGGTTAACTGGTTTGAGTTTTATTTTTGGGGTAAACTAAGTATTTAGTCACTCTATTTTGTTATCTAATTATTTTTTTAATATCATACTTAAAATTACGTTTTTATTTTGTTTTTGATCGTCTTCTATTTAAATATAAAGGCTTAGTGGTATGTAAGGCTCTCAAACTTCTTTTAAAAAAATTAAATAATCATCAAACCATTTTTACACTTAATACTACCTTCAAACTCAGAAAAATTTAATGTGGTCATTTGACTAATAATTTTCGTCATTAATCGTTACGATGTTGATGTAACAGTTTACGATGCTGACGTGATGGTATACTGTATTGATATGACAGTCTATGATAGTTGATGATGTGGATGATGATGCGATAGACTAAATTGATTTTTTCTAGTCATCATCACATCATCAATCACAGTGGACCATCACGTCAGCATCGTATACTGTCATGTCAGTACCATGAACTGTCACATCAACATCGTATCGATCAATGACAAAAATCATTGGTCAAAGAGTTACATTAAATTTCTTTTGACTTTGAGGACCACATTGACTTTTAGGAATGTTTAAAGGCCTCACATACTATTAACCCCAAAATAAACAAAACTATTGACGTTTCATTTTTTATTTTTCAGTAATGAGATGACATTAGTTTATGACATGTCAATATCGTAGTTAACCTTTAACAATGAGTGACCAAATAGAACAAAAACGTAAGATTATGTAAAATTTTGAAAAACAATATTTTAGTGACAAAAAATTATGAAAATAATTGAGTGACTAAATATATAATTTACCCTTTATTTATTTTTCTTGGGTTTTCGAGTTCTCCATGTAAAAACGATTACAAAAATACTTTTACCTTCTTTAGCCTTTGAAAGACTAAGAACATGGTGTATATGTTGTTTAAAGAATATATCTATTTTAGGGGCCTAGATATGAAATTGTCCTTTTTATTTTAGGCTTAAAGGTTCCTAAAGTATATCTATGTTATATGTTTAATTAATTTAATCTATATAGAAAATTAAATATCCAAATAGAAAATAATTTAAATTAACAATTTAATTAATTACATATAAATGTTGAATTTTACAATTGTGATTTTTATTTTAAAAGTAAATCATAAAAAAACTTAACATAAAAAGACTTAATACTTACTTTAGCCATTCTACTATATTGTGTCAGCGTGAAGTCTCCGAGCTCTGGCTTTGATTTTCAGGTCGTACTCCACTAATTCTCCTGAGTTTGTCCTGGTCATAAATCAAAAGAAAACAAAAATTAGTAACTTTGACGAAGTCCCCAACAATGGTGCCAATTTGACAACTGTCGTTTTGATGTCAAAATAAATTCTTTCTTCTCAATTAATAAATAAAGGAGATACGCAATAAAGAGAAGTAAAGGTCGATCCTCAAGGACTTAAACAATTTCAAATTTCTATTTGAATGGCTTAAATCAGGCAATAAGTAGTAAAAATGGGGGGTTTTTGTAAAAAAAATTAAATAATAAAAAGCAATTTAAAGAAAAATAAAGAAAGTTAAAAGTGCAGGCTGAAAATGAATATGGTAAAAACAACCTCAAGCCTCATTTTGACTCAATTTTCTTCGGATCATCGAATTATATTTTTCCTTCGAGATTCACGTCGGTTACTTTGTCTACAAGGGCAATCGTCGTGACTCTATTTGTATACCGAATACCCAAGGCAATCTTTGATTCCGGCTTCAGAAATTGATATGATCAACATCAATTGTCGTAGATCAATAACCGTTTAAGTTCGTGAAGACCGGCTCAGATTGTTGTTTCAATAACTACTAATTCCGATATCAATTCCCTCTTGGCAAGACAATCTAATCAAGTGTATTCCCAGGAAGTCAAATGTGCTTTCAATAAGTCAATCCTTTCTCCCACACTTTTCATCGCAAGAACATCTTGACCAAAGTTAATCTTTGATTTTGAATTTTTTTTTATTTTGAAAATAAGCGCAGAGATTGAGAGAGATATTTCGAAATTATTCAAGTGCTTTTCAATTCTCACGTTCGAATTGAGTCATCGCTTAAGCTTTCGGCTTATGAGAAAATTAGCTAAGCATGACAAAAGTCATACTTAGCATATTTAAAAATAAAACTTAAAAGAAAAGAAAATTGAAAAATTAAAAAGAAAAGAAAAGAAATAACTTTATAAAACTAGAGAAAAAAAGAAGAGTAAATTTTGAGTTGTTTGTTTAGGCTTACCCAAGAGGATATTTATAGCCTCTAAAACCCTAGAGATAAACATAGAAATAAAAATAAAAATAAAAATAAAAATAAAAATAGTCCTAAAGATAATTACAAATGTTTTCAAAATTCAAACTTTAAAATTTAAAAATAAATCTCCTAAGATATATCTGCCCGTCCACCTTCCAGGAGGCGGTGACTAGATCTTTTAGAAAACTGCCACGTCAGACCGTGTCATGCCCAGAGTCGTGCCCATGTCTCCAACCGTGACCAAATAATAAAGAAATGCATAATGCACCCTTTTTTACTACTAATTCTTGAAAGTAAGACCCTGCACGAAAATAAGCATAACTCAACCAAATCAGCAACAATAAATCCATAAGATCGAAGATTTAACAAGACAATAATATCGATTTAGAACACTCATCATGTATCCGGGTTGGGTACGGGTTGTGTACGGGTTGGGGGTGTTACAGTTCGACGACGACGACGACAACCGATGATGGTGGGTGACACTAATGAGAGTTAGGATTAGGGTTAGGGATTTAAGTTTAGAGATTTATGGGGATTGGGACGATGACAAGAGGGATGATTGACAATGGAGGTCCGATAACAGATGGGTGGTCGTTCGACGATGGTGAAGGCGAACAGTGATGGCCGACGACTGATATGGGGATTGGAATTAGGGATTTTAAGGTTTTGGGGTTTATTTTGCAATTTTAAAAAATTGGGTTTTTATAAATTAATAATATTCTTAAATTTTTAATAAAATAAAAAATTTCAAAAAATATGAGAGCGACACGTGTCACTTAACGGCTAAATTTAATGTTTGCTACAACCTAAGCACCTAAAAATGTAACGTTGGAAACATTATCCACCTATTTTTAACAAATTTTTTAAGAATAATTAATTATCACTTCAAATATAAAATTTTAAGCCATAATGATTGAATAAGTTTATATTATTGTTAATCTTTCTTCTCCTCCAATTGCTTTTCTCTTGGGGGTAGTAGGATGCCTCTCTTGATTTTAAATCAAAGCAAAGCATTATATGTTAAGCACGGCCCGATTGTTCCTTCAAGCTTCACTCAAAACGAGATGTATTAAGTACTAGAAAAGTTAATCTGATGTGCATTCTTGTTTTTATATTTAAAAAAATTAATATTTTTTTATTAATTTAATATCATAAACTAACTACGATGCAAAACACATTAAGTGTATTGTACAACATTATAAATGACCTCATATGTGATTTACAATAATGAGTATTTTTTAAAGTGTAAACTACACAAATGATCACTAATGTTTGAGTATATTTTTTGTTTTCTTCATTAAAGTTTCAAAAGTAAAAAATTAGTCACTAACTTTATCGATTTGTAACAAAACGGTCATTAATGCTATTGTTTTATAACAAATTGGTCACTCGGCCGTTAACATCCGTTACCCCAGTAACAGAAGGCTGATGTGGCACATTACATACTTAGGTTGAATTGCTTGACACAGTCTGACCTTACAGGTTTAATGGAAATTCTTCTTTCTTTAGTTTTCTGCATTTGTTCCACCACCCCACGGTCCCCACCAGTACGGTCACTAATTAGACCCTTGATAATGAAAGTCCGACCAAATGTAAGCAGCTGATCGTCACTATAAAACAACCTGAACACGTTAGAATATACATTGTTACCCACAAATCCAATGTTAGAATATACCTTCTTTAATCTCACTTTATTGACCAACATCGCATCCTCTTTTAAAGCATCAACTTAGCCACTACAAGTAGCATAAAATTTAGGGATAGGTTAGAGTTATCATTGTTTACTTGATATTAAAAATTCAATCTGAAGCTTGAATAGTTCATCCTCAAGATTAATGTCAATAACTCTTCAAATGATCTTTACATGACGGTAAAGCATGAAGCATAATAACAATGCATATATTTTAATGGCTGTCAAACCCTCCAACTTTGAGGCACCTCTAATGGTATACCTATCGTAAATGGTGGTGACACTGAGGAAAATTTGGTTTAAACTACATTAAAATCAATATTGTATGACGGGTTGTAATGTAGATGATCAAATCCTGCAACTTTCTTAATCTATAACCATCTGTTTCTAGAACCCAAAATCTTAATGTTGCTTATATTTAATCATCACATAGCTTTTTGTCAAACATCCTCGTAGATCTTCAACGAGGCCTCGGAGAATTTGTTTAGTCTATGAAGAGGCCTCGGAGAATTTGTTTAGTCTATCAAGAACCCAAGTCAAACTTGCTTGTATGGAGCTCAAGGTGGAAGAAACATCATCAGTTGTATCACCGTATGTTAATACATAAAGGCCATCTTTGTTTCTTCTGTAGTTTGGATACTTGTTACTCCGTTAAATGAAAAATATCAGATAAAAAGGCTTTAATCCCAAAGCTAAGTTCCTCAGCTGACAAGGTTTTCAACCTAGTTGACCATTCAAAAATGGAAAAAATATTGATGGCTCGTATCCTAGGTATCAATGAGGTGAGAACGGATATCAGTTCTTCGATGAAAAAATGAACATCAATAGCGAATGGATCTTCGTAATTAGAATTCGGTCTCAGAGGTTCTGAACATGGAGGAGTATATTTTGTTCATGAAAGGAAGCAGCAAAATAATAAAAAAGGACTTGCAAAATAATAAACTCCCGAGCCATATTCAACAAAAAGGACTTAC